CATGGATTCTTCTCCTGTGGTTTTAGAGAGCCATTGAGGCCAGGCAACATGTGGCTGGGGAGTCCCTGCAAGGCTGTGAGAGGACATTGTGTAAAGTTGTGAAACTGAAGCCTGGGTTGTGTTAGAGACCTCAAGATGTTAAGAGTGCCAACCTGGGATATCTGCTATGAAGAGCTGCATACTGGGAGTGAAACCAGTCTGTGTTGGTTTGAATGGGAATGACCCTTGTAACCAGTCTGTGTTGGTTTGAATGGGAATGACCCTTGTAGGCTCATATGTTTGAATACTTGGTTCCCAGTTGGTACAGTCATTTGGAAAGGGTTAGGAGATGTGGCCTTGGTAGAGGATGTGTGTCATTAGGAATGGGCTTTGGGGTTTTGAAAGACTCATTTCATTCCCAGTTAGCCCTCTCTGCTTCCTGCTTAGTGATCAAGTTGTGAGTGCCCAGCTGTTCCTGCTGCCATGCCTTTGCCATCTTTGATTCTAACCCTCTGAAACAGTAAGCCCAATTAAATGCTTTCTTTCATAAGTTGTCTTGGTCATGGTGTTTTATCATAGCAATAGAAAAGTAACTAAGACACACCCCAGGCTGGAGGAACAGAGCTTTGACACTAGACATGGAGCTACAGGATTTGAAGGTTATCCTGCTGGGTTCCAGCCTTACTTTGGTTTGGTATTTCCTCATGGCCACATTCCTCCCTTTTGGGATAGTAATGCATGATCTCTGCCATTTTATGTTGGAAGTATGTCATTTGCTTTTTTATTTTACAGGGGTTACAGTTAAGAGATTGCCTTGTCTCAGAAGAGCCCTTGAACTTTGGATCTTTGAACAATGTTGTGAAAGACTTTGAGGGCTTTTGAAGTTGGGCTAAATGTATTTTTTATGGCCATGAGTATGTGCTGATGATTTGAATGAGAAATATCCTGTGTAGGCTGGGGTGTGTGGACACTTGTTTCCGAGTTGGTGGAGTTAACTGGGGAGATTTAGGAGAACCTAGAGGTAGGCTTTTAGAGTTTTATAATCTCACCCACTTCTAGTTGTCTTTCTTTGCTTGCTGCTTGTAGTTGAAATGTGAGTGCTCAGCTTTTTGTTCTGTTGCCATGCTTGCCCCTGCTTGCTGCCATACATCCCAGCTCCCTGCCATGATCGACTCTTACCTTTTAGAACCGTGAGCCAAATAGACTCTTCCTTCTCTAAGTTACTTTTGGTCATGGTGTTGTATGATAGCAACAGAAAAGTAACTAATCCAGTCATGTTTTGCATATAATAGCTAGAAACTGAACGGTTTGTGTTTTTAAATTACCCCTTCTGATTGTTCTGTAGATAAAGTCTTTTACTTTGTATGGTGTTGAGAACTAATAATGTTAGTATGAGACTGAATTGAAAAGCATGTTACATGATCTTTCTGTAACTACAAAATGATTTCATGGTGGGCCTGGAGAGCTAGCTCAGTAGGTAAAGTGCTTGCCATATAAGTGGAAGGCACTGAATTTGGATCTCCCACCACACACACACACACACACACACACACACACACACACACACACACACAAAATACAGTGCTGGCTGAATGTGATAACCCACCTGCAATCCTAGAAACAAGAGACAGAACATCCTAGAGCAAGCTGGCTAGCTAGACTAGCTGAATTGGTGAGCTCCAGGCTCACTAATAGGTGGAAAGCATGGAGAAAAATAGCTGATGCCAACTGCAGGCCTCCACATGCACACACACACACACACACAAATACACCCACACATAAAACATGTATTTATACATCATAAAATAAAAACATGAAGACAGTTGTTTTTCTTTTTTTTTTTAAAGACAGTATTAAGAGGTGCATGGTATGAGAGCAGGAGAGCTGCCCCTGCCCCTTGCCGACTACAGCATTGGGTGAGCTGAAGCAGTGCCAGAGAACTCGCCCTGGTGGTGCATGTGTGTGTGAGAAAGCTGGCAGGCTAATCAACTCAGCTACCTCTCAGGCCTAGATCCAGGGCTTTGAGTTGGCCCAGCCCAACATCTACCACATCTATGATCTGCTGGAGCGAATGAAAAGGCTGGTCCTGAAGATCCAAAGCTGTAGGCTCTCATGACACAGGACAGCGATAGGATATCCTAAAGGAGTCTACATGAGGATCCAGTATTGATAGTGTAGCAGAAGCCAGACACCTCAAACCAGACCAGTGACTCATTGCAGTGAATGAACATTTGCAAGTAAAGAATATACTGTTACACACTACAACTCCCATGACATGTTTGTTTTTGTTTTGTGTGTGTGTGTGTATACATGTTTATTCTATCTTATTTTCTTTTGCCAGGTAAGTTGCAAGGATGGAGGGAGGCTATGAAGGGATGGGGAGATGAGTGAGATTCGGGTACATGATATGAAACTCACAAAGAATCAATAAAAAGTTAAAAAAGAAAAAAAGGAGAGATGCATGGCTGATTGCCTAAATTGTAGGCATTAAAGGAAACTTGAAACTGAAGTCTCCTACTGCTTGTCTTCTTGTAAACAAAGCATTTTGTTGTATCATTAACATTTAAGCATTTCAGTGTGTTGTTTTGGAATATGTATTCAATATTTGGTAGAGTGGCTGATATATGAAAAGAAATATTTTTCTCTTTTATCATGAAGTATGTAATGATGGAAGTGGGGAAATACTGTATTTGCAACAGTTGAAAAAAAGCAAAAATACTTTGAAGTAATTTTAGTAACAGAAGTAGCAAATCTGTCTGACAAAGCAGTAGTTCAGTATATTGAGGATTCACTGTTCATCTGGAATATAGTGGAGTCTCAGGTGGTTAAAAGCTGGCTTCCAGATAGTTGGGGTTTTTTGTTTGTTTGTTTGTTTGGTTGGTCCATTGCTTGTTTTTACTGTTACTATTTTTTTTTTAAATGTGTATTTGTGTTTTGCCTACACACATATCTGTACCACCTTTGTGCCTGATGCTAGCAGGCAGAGGTCAGAAGAGAGGGTCAGATCCCCTACAACAGGAGTTACAGATGATTTTGAACTATCATGTACATGCTGGAACTCAAACCAGTCCTGTGGAACAGCAGCTAGTGCTTTTAGCCACTGAGCCATCTTTCCAGCCCCAAGTGAAACAATCTTAAAGAGACTTCCTCTAAGACTTAGGAGTTGGGGAGACATTAACCAAAAGGCTGCAAATCCAGAATCTGTTTGTCTGCTTGTTTGTTGCTTTTGTTTTGTTTTTTAAAAAGGGTTGTTTGGAATTAAATTGAAAATAGTGTTTGTGGCAAAAGGTATTTAAAACTAAGTCAGCAGATTCAGAATTTGCTTGGGATTTATATTTAGCTTATTACTTGTGTGTGTAATATGTGTGGTTGTATGTATTCCATGCTTGGGTCGGGGTCAGAGAATAACTTTGTGGAGTTGGTTTTCTCCTTCCCCTTTATTGAGTTCTTAGGATCAAACTTAGTTGTCCTTGGCCATGATTGACAAATGTTTTCACCTGCTAAGCTGGGTGCTGGCCCAAGGATTTATATTTATAATATACAAAAGGTTCAAAAAATTTGACAAGCCAAATTGCTTAATAGGAAAAATTGGACAGAACACAATCCAATGGGCAGTTGAAAGAGCAAACCCAGTTTGCCAACACAGCTAGGAAATAATGACCTCTGTTACGCAGAGTGGCACTGACTGAAGACCCCAGTGGTGAGTCTCACACAGTTTTAAGAGTTTCTTGCTGTACAACAGCTTATCCCCAGGCTTGTGTTCTCACAGTCCCCATGCATTACAGGTCAGGTCAGGCTCTGATGGGCTCAGAGCCTTGGAAGACCGTAGTAGCTCAGATGTGATCAGCCTGTGGCCTGTGGGATGAGAGCTATAAATATAGCCAAACACAACATCCTAAATTTACATAAAACATCATGAGGCCTTTTTATGATCTTTTTGTAGCTAGATTGTTTTGTTCCTTGGGTGTGGTGATAATGACATGACAGCATCAATTTGGAATGCTAAGAGTTTGGACATGCTTACTAGCCAAATATGCCCACCTCTTTTAAAAAGTGGGTGTTGGTTGCTACGTTCTTTTCCGCAAGCTTATATCGCCTGTTGACAGAATTCTTTTCCCTCGAGCTACAAGATGGTGCCCCATTTTTTTTTTTTTTTTTTTTTTTTGGCTGCTCTTACATGGGTCAATCTTCAGACTGTAGAGGTCCCGGGAGTTCCCGCTACATGGCCTTTTCATGGGCTACCCCACCACAGGACAATACCAGTTAGGGCACCCTGGCTTTGCTCTAACAGTAACAGAACGTAAGCATGACTGTAACTGTCCTGTGTCTTTGTTATATTCTGTTGGACAGAATGGAGTGACAGGATCTATCCTACAAAGGAAGTGATGCCACTGTTTGGAAAGTCATCTCAGAATTCTTCTCACCACGGTCACTTAAATCCATTAAACTGAAAAGGAATGGGAAAAGCACTGTTAAGTTTATTCCAGGCGGGATAGGAAGTATGTGTATGAAGGTACACCAGTAATTTAATGTCAGCTTGACACAAGCTAGAGTCATTTTGGAAGAGGGAACATCATTTGACAAAAAGGCCCCACCAGATTGGTCAGCATCTGTGTCAGAAGCTCATAGCTATCTTTAATGTCTGTTCTTAGGGTCAAGACACCTCTGGCTTCTTGCACTTACATACACACATGCACACACATACAAACATATATATGTATGCATAATTTAAAATAGAATAAGCCTTAGGAAAAAGATTGGTGAAATCAGAAACTCCTGTTGAAATGTTCCAAGTATAGCATACTGCTATGATAGGAGGGAAAGGTCTGGAAGGTTTGAACAGATTCTTAATAAAGGTTGAGAAGCCTCCTTTAAGAAATTGCCTTATATGCAGAGCTAGGGATAAATAACTTTGATTTTGCCTTCTATATTCAGAATTCCAATTTTAGCAAATCTTCTGCACTGGTAGTTTTAGGAACCTGAATTGGCATTTTAATTTTCAGAACTGTGTTTTCTTCTAGTGTCTTTTTCAGAAGAGGAAAAATATCAGCTTCGGAAATTTGTGAATAAGTCTTACCTGCTGGACAGGACAGCTCACCGTCAAGTATACTACAGTTTAGTTGACATTCTTCTGGCCTATTGCTATGAAGTCCGCGTCACTGAAGGAGAGTACAACGTAAGTCCTTGTTTGCCAGTGAAGATCACTGTTAGCTAACGGGAGCTCCGCCCTCGCTCGCTTGTCAGCGCAGAGCCTGAAGTGCCTGTGGTGGGGTTGGTAGTGGGGAGCATCCTGAAGCATAGTGCTAATAGGTTGCCTTGTCTCTTCTCTCTTAGCATTGGGTCTATGAAATAGGTAGCAGAGCAAGGAGATGGAAGGGTGGACAGTAGGGAGTGGCCAAGGAGCCTGCTACCACACCTCCTCGTGTTTTTTTTATCTGAGCTTTCATTATCACATGCAAAGTAAAGCCGTTTGAAGAAAAGAATGTAAACATACAGAATGTATACTTATACAGCCTGTATAGAAGTCCCAATTTTTTCAAAACTTGAATTATATTTCTTTTTGCTACTCAAAAGAATCATTCCAGATTGAGATAGGATTGAGAGATGAAAGCCAGCCCGTGCTGTAAATGGAGACCCTACTTTCATCTTTTTGTTCATTTGTATGCTATAGAAGCCATACAAATGTGTTGGGTCATGTGTTTTTAAAGACTGGGTGCCATCATCAAGGCCTCAATCCTTCCAGTTTTTCCTTTAACTTTTTGTTTGTTTGTTTGTTTGTTTTTTGGGGGAAGGTTTCTCTGTATAACCTTGGCTGTCCTGGACTGGCTTTGTAGACCAGGTTGGCCTCAAACTCACAGAAATTCGCCTGCCTCTGCTTCCTCGAGTACTGGGAGTGCAGGCGTGGGGTGGAGACCGCTGGATCAGGGCCTGCTGTTGGTAATTGCCTGTGCTTAGAGTCAGCCTTGTCCATGCTTTTGTTTTTCTTTCTGGTTATACAAAATGATTTATAACACCGGAATTTTGTCTCTGTGTGTTTTTGTTTTCACTGTGAGTGTGTGTGCACATGTGCATGAGTGTGTACGTGTATGTATATATTTTCTGGGTTACAGCATTAAGCACTATGATTTAATCCACTTATCTCATGTAACATCATAGTACTAGTTCAATAGTAGAGTTTAAGATGCCAATTCTTGGTTGTCACGATTGTGAATATCTTTGAAGTGACTGTTGCAGTCTGCATATGATCTAAGTGAATAATCTTGGGTTATCAAGAATGTAATATATCTGAAAATACTTTGTTTTCAAGTCTTTCTTTCAATTTTATTTTATGTGCATTAGTGTCACAGCCCTTGGAATTGGGGTTACAGACAGTTGTGAGCTGCCTTGTGGGTGCTGGGACTCGAACTCAGGTCCTTTGGAAGAGCAGACAGTTCTCTTAACCACTGAGCCATCTCTCAAGTCCCTCAAGTCATTTTTTAAAGACACTCTAAATGGATAGAATGTTTACTTGGACAGAAAAACACCAGCTCTTCATTTCATACTATTAGGTCTTTTTTTTTCCTTTTTTTAAAAAATATTTATTTTTATGTATATGAATGCTCTATCTGCATGTACACCTGCATGCTAGAGAAGGTCATTAGATCACACTACAGATTGTTGTGAGCCACATGTGGTTATCAGGAATTGAACTCAGGACCTCTGGAAGAGCAGACAGTGTTCTTAACCGCTGAGCCATGTCATCAGCCCACTATTAGGTCTTTTAAATTAAAAAAAAAGATTTTAAATTTCATGTATATGAGGTTTTGCCTGCGTGTATGTATGTGCACCATGTTTGTACCTGGAGAGGTCAGGAGAAAGCATCAGGTCTCCAGAAACTGGAGTTATGTATGGCTATGAGAGCTACGCACTGGACAAGAGCAACTAGTATTATTCTTGACCACTGAGCCATCTCTTTATTCTCACATACTAAATCTTGATGAGTGAATGGGTTATACTTGATCAGATTTACCAATTTGCCTTCCCTTTGCATGTTTAAGATCATGAAGCCTTGCAACTTCAAAAGTCTCTGGACTCCTGCTGATCTCGCATGCATTCTCTGAAAGGGTGTTCAGGTGTTAGGACTGCAGTTCAACAGCTAGTGCCTTAGTAGGGAAAGAAACAGCAAACATTTTGCTTCGGTTTTGTTTGAATGCCCCTACTTATTTATGTGTTAATTCTGATACTCTCATCAGTGAAGTGTTTACTTTAGTAAAATTCTAAATAAAGCAAACAAAAAAGGTATCATTCTATTAATCTCTCCATCAGTATGATGAATTTTTGACATTCATAAACACATCATTTTCACGTACTAGTTTCATTGGATATATTGTTTCATTTTCAAATGACTTCTGAAGGTGACACTCCTTTCTCCCAAACAAAGGTTGAGTCTGCATGGACTATCAGAAAGCTCAGCCCAACACTCTGCTGGTTTGAGGTACGATTTCTACTTTTTTTGTTTAGGCTTATGTTGATCAGAAAGTTGTTTTTCTGTTGTTCATAATTTTGGTAGTTTTTTGTTGTTGTTTAAAAACTTTTTAATGTCTTTAAATTGTTGGCTTTATTATACTTTTTTAAAAATAAACTTTGTGGGATAGTCAAGCCAGGTAAGCATCTTAAAAATTGTGGAGGGAAATACTGTATGTAGGAACACTAAGGACTCTGGTATGTTTGGGAAAATGTAGGTGAAGCTGCAGGTATGTTAATAAATTGGGGTTCAGAGTTCAAAAATAGAAAATAAAGCTAGATGATAGTGAACCATCAGAGTCATGTGGGGTATCTTATATCTTTTATTTATCTTGTTCCTCAGTAAGTCACTCAATAAGGTGAGTGTTGCTGAATTCACAGTTGAAGAAACTTAGGTCAGACCACGTAACTAAAATTTCCTTCATCCTATCATTTAATGGTTAGAGTTGTCAACCTCTTTTTTTTTAAATTAAATTTTATTTGTCATACTTATTTTGCATGGTACTTATAGTATACATGTGAAGGTCAGAACACAGTTTTGTGGAATCAGTTCTTGCCTTTCACCTTTATGTAGGTTCCCGTGATTAAACTCAGGTTTACATCATTAGGTCCAGCACATTTACCCATAGAGCCATGCCACTGGTCCTGCCGACTATCTCTAGTGTAGTGACAATTGATTTTGTATCTAAGCCTTTTTATGCAGTTCTCATAAAATTTATTAAAGAATAGTATCTTTGAAGCTTCTGAGTTCAGAATAAATTGTTCAACACCAAAATTGTACCGTCAGTTCAGATAAAGCATACTTTGAATTGTAAAGTGGAGATTGTTTCATGCATTACTTCCTTCTGTGAGGAGGTAAGATTCAGATCAGCACTGAGACAGGTACAATGGGAGACTCGTACTCTTCCAAGATTAAGATGGGCCAGCAGCCTTGTCAGCCACCTCAGCTGGGAGCTGCTTATAAAGTCAGGAAGCCTGTTCCCATTCTCCCTCTGCCATAAAATTCAAACCTGAGCCTTTGGTCTGAATGCCTGTCTTCATTAAGACTCTAAAATGTTCCTTCTTTGTATGTGGTTCTTAACCCACATTTATGGTTTGTTGATGTGGCATGAAGAATTAAAAGTCTGTGATAAAGTAAGGTGTACAAGAAGAATCTTGCTTGTGTCAGTGAGCCAGGTTTACAGGGTTTAATTGGGGTTGTTTCATTGTGTGCTTTTGTTGTGTAATGTCGTTTATGGAAATTTCTTACTGAGATGACTCTTTATAGACTTGGACAGACGTTCATGAAATCCTGGTGTCTTTTGGAAGGAGAGTCTTGTGCTATCCACTTTATCGTCATTTCAAGCTGGTGATGAAAGCCTACAGAGATACTATAAAGATACTGCAACTAGGTAAGGTAGGCTTGCAAATCTGTGCATGAGAAATTGTACATTTTTAGTATGTGAAGATGTAATCATGATTTTTTTGCTCAGCTCCACCCCTCACATTCCAGGATATAACAGTAATGGTTCCTCGGCAGAGATGCTCAGTCATGCTTACCTTTTCTGAGAAAGGGAGAGTAAAGGGGTGCACCGACATCCCAGATTGCTGTAACTTTCTAGGCACTAGGGTCAGGCTGTGGGCCCAGTAATGAGGATAGAAAATCCTGTCCTCTAATGAAGTTTACAGCTTTGTCAGAGAGACATGATAAATAAACCAGCAGTTCCAATACAAAGCACAGGTACTCAGCCCGAGGGGTGTACTGACTGTTTAGGAGGGAACTTGTCAGTTAGACTTGGGAAAACAGGAAGGACTTTCATCACTATTCTGAAGATTCTTGACTCCTGCTAAGTTTAGCATGAAAGGCCAAGTACTTTCTGGCTATGGAAAATTCCAGGCTTCAAAACAAATTCCAAAGTACTCATAAAAACATCATTAGAACAATTAGAATAGAACAGTAGGCTTCAGCATAAGAAGAGAAGCTTATTGTCTATATTCATAGGAAGGAAAGCTCATCCACACACAAGCACATGCACACAAAGGGAAATTCATCCCTCATGTCCAGGTGACTTGATTGGATTGTTAGGTAAAATCACATTTCTAATGTTTTTTCCCAAGGGGCATCTGGCTTTTTGTCTTCAGTGTGACTTGTATTATTCTTGCTTTGGGTAGGCATGCTTGAAGTAGATTGTAATTGTGAAAATGAATCATAGTTAACTGAAAGATGCCTTTTCATTCACCTGATAGGTTTAGACTAGCAGTATTTTACTTTGAAGAATTGTTTAGGATAAATGAGTGAATATCATTGAGAAATCTATCTCCTTTAACTGTGGGAAACAAACTGCCTTTTTTTTTTTTCCTTCCTTGCTTTCCATCCGTGTTACTTCTTGAAGCTCTAAAATTACCTTGAAAAATCAATCTCCTCTAAATGAATGATTCCGAGCTGGAGCTGCATATCACAATTACCTGCTTTTTGTAGTTTTGCAGGATTCTGTGAGTGTTGTTCATAGATTTAAGCTTGGGACTCTTATGTTGTGGCTTCCAGGGGGAAGCCAGCAAAACTGTAGCAAGCTCTTCTATGCATGTTTCCACATATATCCATTCTGGCTTTCATTCATATGAACTATTACTTGTTACTTTTTATTTTGGGGACTAATCTGGTGCTCTGTATTTTTATTTGAAAAGTAATCAGTTCTGTGATTGCATAACCCAAAATAAATTTGATTGCCTTGATGTAAAATCTGATCAATTAGTCAAACAGTTTTAGTAGGTTAGAGCTGAAATTGAGACTTAACTTTTCATCATTATCACTTACAAGAAATAGTCTTATCAGCTGTATTTTGTTAACAGCAGGAAACTTGAAATAACACACTAGAGCCTCCATTGAAAATGAATGTGAGATGGCCAAGCCACAGCGCTGGATTCTGTAAATGGCATAGGGTGTGCTCAGTGTGGAAGCACAGTGCTGGACTGTCCTGAACTTGAGCCATTGGATGTGAGGGTGACAAGCTGTGAATGAAGGTTGTGACCTGTGTCTGCACAGGTGGATGGCACAGGAATGCCATTATTATCACTAAGGAATCTCATTTGTTTGGACATTCCATAAGTTAAGTGGGAATGGTACCAGCTTGGCATTTGGTGTTTCCCAACAATGAATTTGTATCTACTTAAAATTCAGAACACAGCCCCAGCAGTCACATTTCTGTTGTAAAGGTCAGATAGTGCTTTCATAGTAGAAAGTAATGAATGACTCTTTCCACCAAAGAAATCCTGATCTGAAATGGATGACTTTCTGTTAAGGTCTTCTAGGGTCAGATTGCCAAAGTCTCTCTCTGCTTTGGCAAGATTCCAGGGTCCAGGGTAGAATCAGGAACAGGATGCGCTGTTCCCCTGTTCACTTTATCTCTTGGGTTACTGAGCTGATGGCTCAGGCAACCGATCAACAACTGATCACAAAAGATGATTGAAAGAGAAAGAAATAGGGTAGGGAGCCCAGAATTCCTTCTATAGGTCTAGGGACTGGCTGCACTGCTACTAAGAAGAAAAACTTTAACTGGTTATCGCTTTTTTGCTGTAGCCAGGACTATAAAATGGCTTTTAGCCAAAATTCCAAGGGGTTGTAAAAAGGGGCCCTCTGATAGGAAATTAGCTCCTGTGCAGGGGCAGGCTGCGGAGGCCTCCACAGGCTAAAAATTAACTTTTTTCTGCTTGTCCTAGGCTGATAGATCCTGAATCACTGTTAACTTGTTTGTAAATTGGTAAGAAAAAGAAAAGGGGAAAAGTAAGCAAAGGCCATTCACACACACATGCTCAAGAAAAAGGCGGATGATGTTGAAAACTTTAACTTCAACGAATTCTCACAAGCTTATATATGACAATGATGTTGATTTTGCTAGCATCTCCTCTGCAGAAACTACAGCAAGTTTAGCCTGCTGGTTCCATACTCACACATAGACAAACAATCAGACATATAGACCTATACATATTCATGCATACATTCAATGGATGGTATAAAAAGGGGCTCCTTACATACATACAGACAATTGATATACACTCATGTAACATATGAACAAAAACCAGACAGATGTACATATTTTCATGTAAACACATATCTGTATACACATTTACAACTCATGGATGAAGCAAATTCTAGCCAGCTTTCATTCAATGAGTTTCCACCACTGGGTTTCTGCCAATGGTATGTGTGTGTTGCCACAGTTTACTGTATAGCCTTTATACCTCTGGGAGAAAACTCCCAGAAAAGGAATTACCTCATAGTCAAAAACGCAATTAATCACAAAACAGATGAATTCTAAAATACAACAGGTTACATGTTTTAAAACTAAACATTTTTTATCTGTGTATCCATTACATAAGTTCACAGTGAGCTCAGAGTGACAAAGCTTGACAGGGTCTAAAGGTTAACAGGGTCTAAAAGTTACAAGAATATATGTCTTTTCAATCAGGACTGACTTGGTTACACATTTTTCAGCTATCTTTCGGGCAATAATCTTATCTGTCTTTCATTTTAAGAAACAAAGTAAATTTAAAATGACAGTATATAATGCCATAAGGTGACAAGGTATAAGGAATTACAACAGAATAGTTTGTATATAATGACATCAAGGTTTGTACTTAATTAGACATTGCTTGGTAGTCCCATTATAATTTGGGTTCATGGGAAGTTCAAACCAACTTGCCTATATTTATAGTGTATACCAGGATTTGTAAGTGAAAGCTACAAATCTGTCTCAAGCCTGTCTCCTTGTGAGGCATCTGGAGGCCCACAAAGGTATTTATACAGCCATAAACTTTCTAAAGATGTTTAAGAAGTTCTAAAACAATTTAACTTTAAAATTGCTTGAATCAAATCAAATCAAATCAATCAAATCCATAATCAGGAATTAATTCATCTGAACAGCAGTACATCTTCAATAAGGTCCCATAGGAAGTTTGTTTAATCAGAGTGTGTAAATACCCAGAAAGTGATAATTCACACCATATCAGATTATAGAGAGATACGGCAGTGCACAAAAAATGAGTGTCAGAGACTGGAAGCAGTTCTGGGGTGTATCATGGTATAGACCTTGCAAAATACTGGATCCCTTCCAGAAAGCCCACCTGCCAGATGAGCTCCTTTAACAGAATGGCTCCTGGCAAGTTTCCAGAACCATGGGAATGCTTCAGAAACTACAGAGAGTATTTCATGATCACTATTTGACTAAGATGGGAGTGTTCAAAGAGCCATGAATTTGCTTTATCTGATTTCACAGCAGCCTTTACAAGGATGCTTTTCTGGGCCTTGAGCATCTTTAAGTTTCTTGCATCCTTCCCTCCTTTAATCTTGTAGAAGGCTGTGCTTATTTATCTCTTTTTGTTATATATTAAATCCAAACTTCCTTGGGGTGGGAAGCCTCGCCTCACCCTAGTAAGTACTGTTTCAGTGTTTAACAAAGGACCTTGCCCATAGGGTTGTTCTCCCCTCTTCAGTCCTTTTTGGGGGAGAATACTCCCCCTTGTATTCTCTTTTACTGACTCCTGAGCAACTGTTACTGCTTCTTGCTCTTTAGATTTTTTTTTTTTTTTCTTTAAAGAGTGACTAGAAGTCTTCCTGGAGCCATCCTTTAGCTGTTTTCAGTCAGATGGTAATGAGAGAAGTTGAAAGAGCACAGTTTCCAGTGCACCTTAGTTTTATTCTACTGGAAACTATAAGACAAATCACCCAACACTTGATTATACATTGATAATACATTGTATCTATAGCTTATAAACATTATAAGGTTTTTCTCACTCTACCTCTGTGAGAAGGCTGAGCATGACTGACTCGGAGGGCAGCAACTCAGTTTCACTATTGAGCTTATTCTGTATCTCCACTGCCTTGGGTAGAAGCACACATGCTTCCTATAATATATACCCTATAGGTTTTTCTGATACTTTATAGTCTATACATGCTTTCTTCCTAGTCCTAGCTGCAAGAGGGGTCAAATTTCAAGAGTACTTAAAATTTTTACTCTGCACTTGTAAAGAGGAAGCCTTGGCTTGTCTGGCTTGTACCTGCCCCATGTTATGGAGCCAACAGTGAGTGCGATGGCTGTTGTAGGAAGGAGCCACTTTATTAGTTTAATTTGCAGATCACATCTCTAATGACTAAGTTACCTGACTTTGCTGTCATAGAAAGTGCCAGTTGCCTCCAGAAGAGCCCTTGCTGCTCAACCAACACAAGTTGCTCTTTCCTGCTTTCTGATGGATTCAGATACCAGTTACAGTTCTCAGAAACAGGCTGTTGAACTCTCTGGGGCCAGCTCTGAAGTAGGCTTTGGCCCATTTTATTCTATGTTAGCTTCAGTGGAAATGGTAATCACACGTTAGCCATCGTGCATTCATGTAGTCACTGCTACATTCTAATGTCGCA